TGATGGAGACCAGCACAGTCTCTGTCCCATGCCCCGCACGGAAGCCGGACTGGAAGGGATCTAGTCCGGCTGTGTCGTCTAGGAATTGCTGCAACTGCTCCGCTGCTGCCCTCTCAATCACCTTGCCCAGGAATGAGAGATTCGAAACTGGGTGGTAACTGGAGGGAACCGAAGGATCTAAATCTGGTTTCTTCAGCAGGGGAGAGACCACCGCCTCTTTTAAACCCTCTGGAAAAACTCCTTGCTCAAGGGAGCTGTTTATAATCTTCAACAGAGGGTCGCGTAATCCCTCCAAGCAGGATTTCACCAACCAAGAGGGACACGGATCGAGGGAGCAAGTGGTCGGTCTAGCTGCAGCTATGAGCCTATCGACAGCCCCTGCGTCCAGCGGGATGAACCGGTCGAGGATGGGCCCAGCAAGTGGCCACAGAGTCTCAAGTTCTCTCACTGTATCAATTGTGGCGGGGAGGTCCCGGCGAAGTAGCGAGATCTTGTCTGCAAAATAGCTCTGAAAAACCTCGGCTGAAGGGGCCTGATCACCACTTTTTGGGACGGTAGGAACCGTCGTTAGAGATCGAATTATTTTGAACAATTTTGCAGGGCGTGAGCTAGCAGACGCTATCAAAGAAGCATAATATACTCGCTTTGCTCATAGCATGCTCATAGGACTCCCTAAATTCCTCATAAGCTGATCTCGATGCTCCGTCACGGAGTTCTCGCCACACGCCCTCCAGCCGTCTCTTTTCCCGCTTCATCAGTCGAAGTTCCTCGGTGAACAAAGGGGACCGATTTCGGCAGGGTCTGAGAGGGCGTCTAGGGGCGATCTCGTCGAGTGCATTGGATAGCCTGATGTTCCATGTGTCCACCTGCACATCGATCAAGTCTCTGGCAGGCTCCAGATCCCTCAGATCATTCCGGAACCTACTGGGTTCCATAAGTCTCCTTGGGCGAGCCCAAATTGGCTCGGTGCCCTTGCAGCGTGGGTAGGCATGCTCCAACCAGACTCTCAGGGCGCAGTGATCCGATCATGGAACCTCTATTGTGGAGGCTTGGGTCACTTGAACTCCTGCGCTGAAAATCAAATCTAGCGTGTGTCCCGCCCGATGCGTGGGCCCAGTACTACAAAGCGAGAGTCCTAGTGTCTCCATGGTAGACACTAGGTCCACAGCCGCTAATGAACAAGAGTCTGCATCAGCGTGGACATTGAAATCCCCCAAGACGATAAGTCTGGGGAACCTTAAGGACCACTCCGACACAGTGGGGGACCTTCCACACAGCCCTGTATCCCAGAATATCAAGGCAGAAAATCCCACATTGTCTGAGTGTGGACTCAAATAACCCAGTTCAAAGCAGATATTGTGGGATTTTTCTGCCTTGATATTCTGGGCTATAGGGCTGTGTGGAAGGGCCCACTTGGTTGCTGTGGGTTTTTTGGGCTGTATGGCCATGTTCCAGTAGCATTCTTTCCTGATGTGATGTTTGGCGTAGGGAACAAGGAGAGAAGAGCTGAATGCTAAAGGATATGTTGGGAGAAAGAGCACGTGGGGGGTTTTTTTGACCTTGATGCTTTATGCTAACATTATTTTTCTGGGGTCATTATTCTGGGAGCGACAAACTTTGCAGCCATGTTGAGCCATGCCATTTGCCCCCTGGATTGCTGCCAATTCAAAAAAAGTCAGCAGAAAAGGATGGAAGGGAGTAGGATCAGGCTAATTTGCTTCTGGGAGGGGTAAAGGGTATGACTTCAGACAGAAATTGCACATTATTATTATTATTATTATTATTGACACAAAAACACTGTATGTCACAGCAAACAAGATATATATGCTGGATTTGTTGTTGTTGTTGTCTGTGTGCCAGAGCAGAGAGAAAGACTGAGCTGGGACCGGAGAATCCTTTGGATTCTTTAATTTTTCAAATACTTCTGGAGGGGAAACGCACTCCAAACACAAAAGCGCCGAGGCTCAAAAGCCTGTCTCCTTCCTTCCTACCACAACAAAATCACTCAAAACAAAAGTAGCCATACCAAACCCCCAAATAGAAGGGACTAACCCTAAAGGACTCTCCTTGCCCACTCAAGCAGGGAAGATTCAGACAAGTGATTATCACTTCCAATCCTCCAAGGTGTAGAAAATGCTTAGAATCATAGAATCCTACTTTGGAAGAGGCCTTGTGGGCGATCCAGTCCAAACCCATTCTGTTAAGAAGCAGGAAAATCGCATTCAACGCACCCCCGAAAGATGGCCATCCAGCCTCTGCTTTAAAACCCCCAAAGAAGGAGTCTCCACCACACTCCTGGTCAGAGAGTTCCACTGCTGAACTGCTCACGTAGTTAGGAAGTTCTTCCTAATGTCCAGGTGGAATCTACTTTCCTGGAGTTTGAAGCCATTGTTCCACATCCTAGTCTCCAGGGCAGCAGAAAACAAGCCTGCTCCTTCCTCCCTATGACTTCCTCTCACCTCTTGATACATGGCCCTCATCATGTCTCCTCTCAGCCTACTCTTCTGCAGACTAAACATGCCCAGCTCTTTAAGCCGCTCCTAGTAGGGCTTGTTCCCCAGACCCTTGATCCTTTGAGTCGTCCTTTTCTGGACACATTCCAGCTTAGAGTCAACATCTCCCTTCAATTGCAGTGCCCAGAATTGAACAGTGTGATTCCAGGTGTGGTCTGAACAAGGCAGAATAGAGGGGTAGCATGACTTCCCTGGATCTAGGCACTAGACTCCTGTTGATGCCAGCCATTGGCTTTTTTAGCTGCCGCATCACATTGTTGGGTCATGTTCACCTTCCTGTCCATGAGGACTCCAAGGTCTTTTTCACATGTATTGCTATCGAGCCAGGCGTCCCCCATTCTGTATCTTTGCATTTCAATTATTATTTATTTATTTTGCCTAAATGGAGTATTTTGCATTTGTCCCTGTTGAAGTTCATTTTGTTAGTTTTGGCCAATCTTCTCTCTAATCTGTGCAGATTGTTTTGAATTCTGCTCCTGCCTTCTGGAATATTGGCTTTCCTTCCCAATTTGGTACCGTCTGCAAACTTGATGATCATGCCTTCTCACCCATCATCTAAGCCATTAATAAAGATGTTGAGCAGAACCAGGCTGAGGAGAGAACCCTGCTTCTGGCACTCCACTCCTCACTTCTTTCCAGGATGAAGAGGAAGCATTGGGGAGAAGCACCCTCTGGGTTCATTCACTTAACCAATTCCAGATCCAGCTAACTGTAGTTTTGCCTAGCCCACAGTGGACTAGTTTCCTTGCCAGAAGGTCATGGGGGACCTTGTTGAAGGAAGGTCTTCCTGATATCCTGATATGCTCCATCCACGGCTTTCCCTGCATCTACCCAGCTTGTAACTCTATCAGAAAAAGAGATCAGATGAGTTTGGCATAACTTATTTTTTATTAATCCATTTTGACTATTAGTGATGACTGCATTCCTTTCTAAGTGTTTACAGACCACTTCCTTAGGGGTCTTTTCCAGAATCTTGCCTGGTATCGACATGGGTATATATTACTTTGGTGTATAATCAGGAACTCATTTAATTTATATTTATATATATTGACATGAGAGCCCCTATTGGCGCAGTGGGTTAAAGCGCTGAGTTGCTGAAAAGATTGCAGGTTTGAATCTAGGGAGTGATGTGAGCTCCTGCTGTCAGCCCCAGCTTCTGCCAACCTAGCAGTTTGAAAAACATGCAAATGTGAGTAGATCAATAGGTACCGCTTCAGTGAGGAATAGATAATACGTATAAGCAGAAAAATAACACTAGATGCCAAAAGTTAAATTACGGTAGGTTGTATTGAATAATATATAGAATCATAGAATCAAAGAGCTGGAAGAGACCTCATGGGCCATCCAGTCAAACCCCCTGACAGATGGCCATCCAGCCTCTATTTAAAAGCTTCCAAAGAAGGAGCCTCCACCACACTCTGGGGCAGAGAGCTCCACTGCTGAACGGCGCTCACAGTCAGGAAGTTCTTCCTCAGATGGAATCTCCTTTCTTGTAGTTTGAAGCCATTGTTCCGCGTCCTAGTCTCCAGGGAGGCAGAAAACAAGCTTGCTCCCTCCTCCCTGTAGCTTCCTCTCACATATTTATACATGGCTATCATATCAGCCTTCTCTTCTTCAGGCTAAACATGCCCAGCTCCTTAAGCCACTCCTCATAGGGCTTGTTCTCCAGACCCATGATCATTTTAGTCGCCCTCCTCTGGACACATTCCAGCTTGTCAATATCTCTCTTGAATTGTGGTGCCCAGAATTGGACACAATATTCCAGGTGTGGTCTAACCAAAGCGGAATAGAGGGGTAGCATGACTTCCCTAGATCTAGACACTATGCTCCTATGGATGCAGGCCAAAATCCCATTGGCTTTTTTTTGCCGCCACATCACATTGTTGGCTCATGTTTAACTTGTTGTCCATATGTGCTGTAAAATAATCAATGTATAACAAATGTATTGAACCATGATAAAATAATAAAAAAATATTTTTAAAAATAGGTACTGCTTCAGCAGGAAGGTAAGGGTGCTCCATGCAGTCATGCTGGCCACTTGACCTTGGAGGTGTCTATGGACAACGCCAGCTCTTCAGCTTAGAAATGGAGATGAGCACCAACCCCCAGAGTCGGACACGACTGAACTTAATGTCAGGGGAAAACCTTTACCTTTACCTATGGACATGAGGCTGACCAGACATTTGTAATGGTTTGAGTCGTCCTTTTTTGAAGCAAGGGACTGTGCGCCTTGTTGTGTTCCAGGAAAAGGGGAGGAAAGGAAAGGCTCTCTTTCTTTCTTTCTTTCTTTCTTTCTTTCTCTCTCTCTCTCTCTCTCTCTCTCTCTCTCTCTCTTTCTTCCCTCGTCGGTTGCCTTTGGAAAGGAAGCGCCTCTGGATGGGAGGTGATGGGAAGCAAGGCGAGCCTCTCCTCTCCTCTCCTCTCCTCTCTGCCCCCGGCCATCCGCCCCCAAAGGCGGGACCAAAGCCGCTATAAACCCGACTCAAAGGCCGGTTGCTTTCCCCAAGCATGGGCTTCCTCCTCCTCCGGCGGCTGGTGCTGCTACAACTCCAGCAAGAAAGGAGACTGGGATGCAAGGCGCTTCTTCCTAAGTCTCTGGTGGCCCCCCATTGCCTCCTTGGGGGGCGATCCTACAGCGCCGGTGAGTGAGTGAGTGCCCGACTAGGTGGGCTCGAGGGGACCCCCACCCCTGCCAAGATCTCCCTGACAGCTGCCCAAGCTGTCACGCCCAGCCCTTTCTTTCTTTCTAAGGGGGAAGGATAAGGATGGGGAAGCTCCTTTTGGGGAATGCAGCCTCCAGAAGTCACTTTTGTCAAGCTCCAACCTCTCTGGGTTATCCAAGGCTTTCATGGCCTGAATCACTGGATTGCTGGGAGTATTTGGGCTGTCTGGCCATGTTCCAGCAGCATTCTCTCCTGACGTTTCGCCTGCATCAGTAGCAAGCATCCTCAGAAGTTTGTTTGGAAATGAGGCCAGTGGAGTGTATGCATGTGTGTGCATGTGTACTACTAATAATAACAATAACTGCGTCCCCTGAGCTGCTGAACTTGCTGACCGAAAGGTCGCCAATTCAAATCCCGGGAGTGGGGTGAGCTCCCAATGTTAGCTCCAGCTTCTGCCAACCTAGCAGTTCCCCTGACATTAAGTCTAGTCGTGTCTGACTCTAAGAGTTGGTGCTCATCTCCATTTCTAAGCCGAAGAGCCGACGTTGTCCATAGACAGCTCCAAGTTCATGTGGCTGGCATGACTGCATGGAGCGCCGTTACCTTCCTGCCGGAGCAGGACCTATTGATTTACTCACATTTGCATGTTTTTGAACTGCTAGGTTGGCAGAAGCTGGGGCTAAAGCAGGAGCTCACCCCGCTCCCTGGATTCAAACCTCCAACCTTTCTGTAAGTAAGTTCAGCAGCTCAGTGCTTTAACCCACTGCACCATTGTTTCATATATGTTTATTTAATTGTCAACCTTAAAAAAAATTTATAGCTCTCAAAGGCTAAAATAAAAACACATGTCTTTAGTGGAGTGTGTGTATATATATAAGACATGGGCTTTTTATTATAGCCTTTGAGAGATTTATTATTATTATTATTATTATTATTATTATTATTATTATTATTTGAAATGCAACGAAATGAGTCCACAGCAGACACTCTTCTGGCTGTTGTATTAGATCACACGTTGGACACATGTTGGGCGAATAATGTGTTCAGATTCCGTAAGATGGCCTTCTGCAGCTGGCAGATGGTAATCTTGTCAGCACTGATTGTGTTTAAGTGCAGGCCAAGGTCTTTAGGCACTGCACCGTGTGCCGATCACCACTGGGACCACCTTCACTGGCTTGTGCCAGAGTCTTATATTATTATTATTATTATTAGTAGTAGTAGTAGTAGTAGTAGTAGTCAATGGTTCATTCGATTCAAGTCAAGACAGGGATATTATCTATTTAGCTGTGCTTGTTTTGTCCTTCCTGAATCTCCCATCATTGAATGGGCACCTGTCCCACAGTCAATGTCCCCGATAGAGTCAAAGCCCCTCTTCATCTTTCCCTTTCTTTTCCCATAGGCTCTGCTGGGTTCCAGGAGCGCACGCTCATAGCACTGAAGCCGGACGGCGTCCAGAGGAGGCTGCTGGGAGATGTGATCAAACGCTTTGAGAGACGCGGCTTCAAGCTCATAGGCCTCAAGTTACTCCAGGTGACCTTCCTAGTGGGCAAAAGGCTAGAAGGAGCATCCTTTGGCAGCAAAAAACAAAAAAAACAAAAAACAAAAACAAACAAAAAAAAAACAGCCAAAGCCTCAAGGAAAACATGCCTCAAACCAGATGAACTGCTGCCCATCAAAGCTTCATAGTACTGGGCCAGATGGGAAGGGGGACCATTTTTCAACCTTTTGCCCCATTTTTCATTTTGAAATTTGGTGATGACTAGGAGGCCATAAAATCTTGTGATCCATGAAAAATCCATTAGTGGCAACCGAACTTTTTTCTGAGTTGTTGTGAGTTTTCCAGGCTGCATGGCCATGTTCTAGAAGCATTATCTCCTGATGTTTCACCTGCATCTATGGCAGGCATCCTCAGAGGTTGTGAGGTCTGTTGGAAACTAGGAAATGGGGTTTATATATCTGTAGAATGTCCATGGTGGGAGAAAAAACTGCTGTTTGTTTGAGGGAGGTGTGAATGTTGCAATTGGCCAACTTAATTAGCATTTAATCGCCTAGCAGTTTCAAGGTCTGGCTTCTTACCTTTTTTCTTGTAATTTATTTCACATGGAAAATAGTTTTAGGGGTGTCAAGATTTGGAGGTTGCAAAAGAGGAGTTTGGGAAGTGCATGTGTTTGTAAACCAGACCTTCTTGCCCTCTGATGGATCAATTGTTGGGTTTGTTATCGGGCAGTTTGAGGTTTTTTCCCCCTGCATTCCTTTGAGCAGGAATAATTGCATTTGGGGACTGGTGCAGCTTAGGTAACGCTATCATCATAATCATCATCATCATCATCATCATCATCACCATCATCATCATGATGTATACCCCGCTTTATCTCTCCCACAGGAGACTCAAAGCAGCTTAACATAAGACATCAGTGTACAATTTAAAATAAACAAATATCAGAACAGTATTGTCATGGAGGGATGTTGCTGGTCAAGTTCAGACCTCTATAACAGCACTATATAGCAAAATTTGAAAAAAAAAATCCTGTTTCTTTCATTTATTTACAGTATTTATATTCTGCCCTTCTCACCCCGAATGGGACTCAGGGCAGATCACAGAACACAATCATTTAATGCTGATTATACAATAACAAGACAGTAAACATTTAATGAGGACTATACAATGACAAGACAGACAGAGGTATATAGGCTTTTCCATCTTCTGCATCTTGGAGGCTGTGCTTGGTTTCGGCCACAGGGGGGTGCTGTTGCTCCATCTTCCCTGCCGATGAGCTTTGTTTATAAACTTCCTCCTTTGATTGAATCACCAGCATTTTCTGACATTTCCTTATAGGTGCCTTAACACCTCCCTGCTTTTAAAGCAATACCTATTTATCTCTTCACAGTGGACAAAATTTACTGCAGCTGGTGGTTAGCCTGCTGTGCTAAAGCCTGGCCCACAATGTTCCAGGTTCCTGTTCCTGGTTTGAAAATGTTATTTCCTATTTAATTGTGCTGTGCTTACTTTGAAAGTAGTTGTTCTACTCCAGAAACTTTGTTACTGTGGCTGACACAAACCATGCTGAATTGGTTGAGATTCAATGAGATATTCATTGGGAAACTATAGCAATACGTGCTGCAGGATGACTCTCCCGTAAAAACAAATTTTTGGCAGTTTAATTAGCTTTTTCCATGTTTTTATAATAGAATGAGTTAGGAAATTACATTTATAACCCAGGAACAAAAATCATGTTACATAGTGTAATCTATATCTATATGGGAAATTCAAAACTTCTAGATTAACCTGAGTTGCAGACCATGGTTTCACCAAGTCAGTATTAGGCAATGCCAGAAATACAGCTTAATGGTGTAATATTAGAAAATGTTGACCATTTCCACTACCTTGGCAGCCACCTCTCCACAAAAGTCAACATTGACACTGAGCTCTGCGAGTGCAGCATTCTTCCGAATAAACCACAGAGTGTTTGAGGAAATCCGTAGGGATATCAAGGTGCTTGTTTATAAAGCTATTATCCTCCCAACCCTGTTATGCGCCTGCAAAATGTGGACTATCTACAGACGTCACATGCAACTCCTGGAACAATTCCATCAACATTGCCTCCGGAAAATCCTGCAAATCTCTTGGGAAGACAAGCGGACAAACGTCAGCGTGCTGGAAGATGCAAAGATCACCAGCATTGAAGTGATGGTCATCCGCCATCAACTCCATGTTGTCCGGATGCCCGACCACCATCTCCCAAAGCAGTTAGTCTACTCCGAACTCAAGAACGGAAAACGGAACGTTGGTGGACAGGAAAAGAGATTGAAAGATGGGCTCAAAGCCAACCTTAAAAACTCTGGCGTAGACACTGAGAACTGGAAAGCCCTGGCCCTTGAGCGCTCCAACTGGAGGTCAGCTGTGACCAGCAGTGCTGTAGAATTTGAAGAGGCATGAATGGAGGGTGAAAGAGAGAAACGTGCCAAGAGGAAGGCATGTCAAGCCAACCCCAACTGGGACCACCTTCCACCTGGAAACCAATGCCCTCAGTGCGGGAGAAGATGCAGGTCAAGATGCGGATCAAGAATAGGGCTCCACAGTCACCTATGGACCCACCGCCAGGACACAGAACTTGGAGGACTATCATCCTTGGAATACGAGGGATTGCCTAAGTAAGTAAGTAAGCAAGCAAGAAAGCAAGTATTAGGTAGACCAGCGGTTCTCAACCTGGGGGTCGCGACCCCCAGGGGGGTTGCCTGGCCATTTTGGAGGGGTCGCGAGGCCACCTCCGTTGGCCCCGCCCCAAGGGCGCGGCCAGGCAAGGACACCCTCACGCGAGACCTGGCCTGCGCAAAGCCCGCCTCACCTGCCTCGCTCTCCGGCCATTCAGCGAGGGGGCGAGGCAGCCGAGGTGTCCTCCGTGCGGGCCTGGCGCATGCAAGGCCCATCTCGCCTGCCTCGCTCTCCCGCCATTCGGCGAGGTGGCGAGGCAGGCCTGGCGTCCTCCGTGCGGTCCTGGCCCGTGCAAAGCCCGCCTGGCCTGCGTCGCTCTCCCGCCATTCAGTGAGGGGGCGAGGCAAGCATGGCGTCCTCCATGCGGCCCTGGACCATGCAAAGCCCGCCTGGCCTGCGTCGCTCTCTCGCCATTCAGCGAGGGGGCGAGGCAGGCCTGGCGCCCTCTGTGCGGGTCTGGCCCGCGCAAAGCCCGCCTGGCCTGCCTCGCTCTTCCGCCATTCGCCGAAGGGGTGAGGCAGGCCTGCCGTCCTCCGTGCAGGCCTGGACCACACAAAGCCGGCCTGGCCTGCCTCGCTCTCCCACCATTCGGCGAGGGAGTGAGGCAGGCGAGGCGTTCTCCATGCGGGCCTGGCCTGCGCAAAGCCCGTCTCACCTACCTTGCTCTGCCGCCATTCGGCGAGGGGGCAATGCAGGCCTGGCATCCTCTGTGCGGGCTTTGCCCGCGCAAAGCTTGCCTTGCCTGTCTCGCTCTCCCGCCATCCGAGGAGCGCGGCAGAGAGAGAAACAGCTGAGACAGTGAAAGAGCGAAGAAACAGTGTGGGAGAAGAGAGCGAAGGGAAGAGAAGAGGCGGCGAGGTTGTCAGGCAAGCGAAAGAGCAAAAGAACAGTGAAAGAGGAGAGCGAAGGGGAGAGAAGAGAAGAGGCGGCGAGGCTGTGAGGAGCGAGGCAGAGAATCAGCTGTGACCGTCAGTAACGAACGGGCGAAGGAACAGAGTAGGAAAGGGAAGGGAAGAGAAGAGGCTGAGAGGAGCGAGGCAGAGAGGGGAACAGCTGAGAAGGTCAGAGTAACGAACGAGCAAAGAAACAGCATGAGAGGAGAGTGAACGGTAAAGGAAGAACACGGATGAAGGAAAAAGGAAGAGGGAGGGAGAGAGAGAAATAAGGTAACTGAAAAAAAGAAGAGGAAATGGGAAGTAGGAAGCAAGTAGACACACCAGATAAGTTAAGAGATTTGGGAAGGGAAGCATAGAAGGAAAAAAGACAGAAGCGGTGAAGGTGACGGAGGAAGCGACCTGGAGGGTAGAAAGAAAGAAAAGACTAAAGTGGTGAAGATATACCCAGGAAAAAGATAGTGGAGTAATTGTGATAGGCAACTGACCCAAAAGATCCCCAAATAAATTTAGAAAGATAGTATTGTGGAACAACAAACAAACATAAACATATAAATTTAATAACAATAACAATAATACCAATAACAACATCAAGGAAAACAAAAGAATTATATATATATAAATATAAACTTTAACATAGTAAATAAAAAATAACAGTAACAATAGCAAAATTACAGTCATAAAGGAGCGACGAAAATAATTTTTTGGTTGGGGGTCACCACAACATGAGGAACCATATTTAGGGGTCCCGGTGTTAGAAAGGTTGAGAACCACTGAGGTAGACTCACTGAAAATAGGTATTCTACTCCAGAAACTTTGTTTTTGTGGCTGAGGGTAGTACTGTTATTTCCTTCAGAATGGGTATTTGGTTTGTAATCTTCCTTAATGAAAATATGCAACTGTTAACCTTTCAATGTGTTTATTTATTTATTTATTTATTTATTTGCCATGCTTGTTCGCCCCCCTTCTCCACCTCGACATTTCTAGCCCCAAAGCGCCCCCCCCCCCCAATTCCCAGAATCACTATTTTAAGAGAGCATAATTTGCAGGCATTTTTACTCCCAAACCACATGAAAATACCCTTGCCATCCTATCGGACCCCATATTGCCCCAAAATGCATCTATTTACCCTCTCAAAATGGTGACAATTGATGTGATGTCACTTCATAGGAGCACCCTGTGGCACAATGGGCTAAACCTTGTGCCTGCAGGACAATGGATTAAACCTAAAGATCAGCGGTTTGAATCCATGAGACAGGGTGAGCTCCCATCTGTCAGCTCCAGCTTCCCATGCAGGGACATTAGAGAAGCCTCCCACAAGATGGTAAAATATCCGGGCATCCCCTGGGCAACTTCCTTGCAGACCGCCAATTCTCTCACACCAGAAGAGACTTACAGTTTCTCAAGTTGCTCCTGACACCAAAAAAACCTTCATATTCAAAGGAACCAAGGAATAAAATGAATAAAATCTCAAATAAAATTGCATATCGAAATTTCTCCAAGAAGGAAGTCTGAAAGAAAGAAACATTGCCTTAAAAGATTACCTATGTCTTTTCTTGAAAGGCAAATGAAGGGATCCTGGCACAACACTACCAGCACTTGCAAAAGAAGCCGTTCTATCAGGAGTTGGTCCAGTACATGACCTCGGGACCGGTGGTTGCAATGGTAAGCTGCGTTGGCACTTGCGGCTTCTTTGGGGATGTCTCGGCAGCAGGTTTTGGGTCTGGGCCTTTCAGTCCTGTTTAACGTCTTTATTAATGACTTGGATGAAGGTTTAGAGGACAGGCTGAACAAGTGTAACACATTAGGAGGGAGAGCTAATACTCCAGAGAACAGGATCAGGATCCAAAATGACTCACAGATGACAGAGCCAAAACTAACAAAGTTAATCTCAACAAGGACAAATGTAAAATATGACACTTAAGTATTAAAAATGAAATGCAAAGATACAGAATAGTTGATGCCTGGCTTGACAACAGTCCATGTGAGAAAGATCTTGGGGTCTTTGTGGAGAACAAGTTGAACATGAGCCATGAATGTGATGCAACAGCTCAGGAAGCCAATGGGATCCTGCGCTGCATCCAAAGGAGTTAAGTGTCCAGATTAAGGGAAGTCATGGTGCCTCTGTCTTCAGCTTTGGTCAGACCTCTTTACCTGGAATCACACTGTGTCCAATTCTGGGCAAAGGAAGTCAAGGGGAAATAATAATAATAATAATAATAATAATAATAATAATAATAATAATAATAGGCTCTGGCACAAACCAGTAAAGGTGGTCCCAGTGGTGATCAGCACACTGGGTGCAGTGCCTAAAGACCTTGGCATGCACTTAAACACAATCGGCGCCTACAAAATTACCATCTGACAGCTGCAGAAGGCCACCTTACTGGGATCTGCAGGCATTATTCGCCAATACATCACACAGTCCTAGACACTTGGGAAGCGTCCAACGTGTGATCCAATTCAACAGCCAGCAGAGAGTCTGCTGTGGACTCATCTTGTTGTGTTTCAAATAATAATAATAATAATAATAATAATAATAATAATAATAATAATTGTTATTTTTAAGTGACATACTGCGTTTTTGTGTCATAATAATAATAATAACAACAACAACAACTCTTAAGCTGGAAGAGGTTCAGAGGATGAGGGTATATAAAATGATCACAAGTCTGGAGACCATTAATAATCCCTCTGAGGAGCATCTTCAAGAACTGGGTCTGGTTAGCCTGCAGAAGACAAGTTTGAGAGGAGGCATGAGATCAATGTATCAATATGTGAAAGGATGCCATAAGGAAGAGGGAGCAGGCTTACTTTCTGCTGCCCTGGAAACTAGGACTCAATGGAGCCATGGGTTCAAATGACAGGAAAGGAGATTTCATTGAATCTTCCATTAGGAAGAACTTCCTTGCTGTTCAGCAGTGGAATTTTCTGTCTCAGAATCTGATGGAACCTCCTTCCTTGGAGGCTTTTAAACAGAGGCTGGATGGCCATCTTTTAGGGGTGCTTTGCTGGTGCTTTTCCTACATAGCAGAATGGGGTTGGACTAGATGGCCCAAGGGGACTCAGAATTGGAAGAGTCCCCTTGAATCATATGATTCTATGATGGTGTGATCTGGTTGTTGTTGTTGTTTTGGTGTGATCCCTGTCCCTCTTTGAAACACCCCTGTAGGTTTGGGAAGGGCACAATGTGGTCATGGCCTCCCGGGCCATGGTGGGAGAGACCAACCCGGCCGAAGCCAAGCCCGGGACCTTCCGGGGCGACTTCAGCATCCATGTCAGCAGGTAGGAGCTGGACCCCACTCACCATCTCCATTCCGATTTGGCCAGCAATCTTCGGGGGTCAATCATGGTAGGAGGGTCCAGATTGTAGCTCCACGTGGCTAAGTCTTTGTATTTCACTTCTGCATCACAAATAAAAGTGCAGTCATGGGCACAGCGGATCCTTGGTATCCACTCAAGGTTGCCTCCAGGATTCCCTACGGATACCAAGATCTATGAGTGAACAAGTCCAATTATATACAACAACACAGCAAAATGGCAAAATCAAGGGTTGCTTTATGGGGTATTTTGGGGAGGAATACTCTTAAGTAATGGGTCGTTGAATCCATGGGTACCGAGGGGGGAGGAGAGGGGAGGGCAACTATACATGGAAAATGAAGATATTCATTTGAAATGGCCTGGTTAGGAAGGTGCTGAATGTTAAGTGTTGTGTTGGTAATGGTTGCATTATTTGCCAGTAATCAGCTCTTTGCTTGGGTCTTTGCTTCTTAATCTGTTGCAAATCCAAATTCTATTTTTTAGATTCCCTCACTTGAAGGTCCCTCTTTTTTATTTCTTGTAATTGCTGCTTCTGTATGTTAAACAGATCGGACCATATAACTAGGTGAAGGATTGGCTGTTGCTGGGTGATGTGGCCCTCTGTTCTGTGGCTGGATTGGCTGCTTCTGAATGAAGTGGCCCTCTGAGCTGTGGCTGGATTGGCTGTAGCTAGATGAGGCAGTTCTGTGCGCTGCGACTGGATTGGTCGTTGCTGAGTGACATGGCCCTCTGTACTGTGACTGGATTGGCTGTTGCTAGGTGAAGTGGCTCTCTGCACTGCAGCTGGATTGGCTGTTTCTGGGTGAAGTGGCCCTCTGCACTGCAGCTGGATTGGCTATTGCTCGTGAAGTGGTCCTCTATACTCTGATTGGATTGGCTGTTGCTAGGTGGAGTGGCCCTCTGCACTATGACTGGGTTGGCTGTTGCTGGGTGACTTGGCCGTCTTGTACTGTGAGTGGATTGGCTGTTGCTAGGTAAAGTGGCCATCTGTATGGTGACTGAATTGACTATTGTTGAATGAAGTGGCCCTCTGCTCTGCAGCTGGATTGGCTGTTGCTAGGTGGAGTGGTCCTCTGCACTATGACTGGGTGAAGTGGCCCTCTGTGATGTCACTGGGAAAGAAAGGTGATGTATGTGTGCAAGGGAGGAAGGCTTTCAGAATTGGAGAAGGCAGAAAGTAGACAAGCACAAGTCCCAATGACACCCGTGCAATACCAGATATATTTGCTAGTGTTACTTAGACAGGGACATGGACTCCAGTGTGGTGAACTAAGCATCCAAGAGATCAGGGTGACCACAGCCAAGGCCCCATGCTATACTGCAGTTCGAAACTGCATTATAGTGTAGTGTAAAGTGTAGATGGGGTCCAAGTCACACTTTCTCACTTTAAAAAGGAAGGTGCCAACAAACTCCACTGTGTAAACCATGCCAAGAAAACCCGAGGATGGGGTCGCCATGAGTCAAGAGCGGACAAAGGCATACAACCGCAACGACAACAACAACAACACGGGAGTTAATGTGCAACCTTCTCTTTTCTTGGAAACAGGAACGTCGTCCATGCCAGCGATTCAGTGGAGACAGCCCAGCGGGAGATCAGCCTCTGGTTCCAAAGCAATGAGCTGGTGACCTGGGACAGTTGGGATCACAAACTCATGTATGAGCCCTGACCGCATGTGTGGCCATGCAGATACACCATTGACTACCTCGGCTTGTGCAATGTGCCTTCTTCCTCCTGGGTCTGTGCATCACAGGCCTCCAGAAGGGGACCAGGAAGGATATGGCTCCCAAAACACTTTGAAACTGGTGTTGCCTCTTGCGCATCGCATCTTCCATCCACCCTCTTGCCAGATGCGGTGATCATCTGATTGAACACTGCTTGGAAATCTTACTGCTGTAATAGAAATACTGTGGAGCACGGGTCTGAGCATTAAAAATGGATTGGTGCAAACCTGTTTCTGCTTTCTGTGCATAATGATGCTTTTTCTCTGAGCCGGTGTCAAAGCATTTCACAGATACACTGAATAGTAAGCTTGTGCATTCCGGGTAAACCGCAATCTGTTTCAGTGTCCTGGATTTGGGGGGGGGGGGGGGGGAGGCTGATCCATTTTTGGGGGCCTTCCAAATTTGGAAGAGTCGATATCTGTTTTCACTGTGGGATGCCAAAAGATTTGTTTTCTATCCAGAACATTATAGGGGAGGGCTTCCCAGGCTCCCCTTCTCATATTTTTAGGCATTTGTTTCTATTCTAGGAGAGAGATGTTGCAAGCAGGCACACGTGCTTTCTCTCCCAGGCTTGCACCATGGCACACACTCTTTCGAAGGTGTATAAAGGAGGATTCTTAACGCTGTCTACTCTAGAGGAGAGATGCTACAGGCAGGCACGCAAGCTTTAAAGAGGTTTAAAAGTTGTTTCTATTCTAGAGGAGAGGTGCTGCAGGCAGGCGCACATGCTTTAAGGAGGCTTCTTACCTGTTTCTACTCTAGAGGAGAGGTGCTGTAGGCAGGTGCACACGCTTTCTCTCCCAGGCCTGTACCACGGCATGCACTCTAATAGTAACAATAGTAATAGGTAATAGATACATAGCCGCCTTGAGTCTCCTTCAGGAGAGAGAAAGCGGGATATGAATAAATATAAATATAATAATAACAACAACAACACTAATAGATAATAGATACAAAGCCACCTTGAGTCTCCTTAGGGAGAGAGAAAGTGGGATATAAATAAATATAATGATAATAATAACAATACTAATAGATAATAGATACATAGTCACCTTGAGACTCTTTTGGGAGAGAAAAAGTGGGATATAAATAAATATCTGGATGATTTCTTTTGCCATTGTGTTGTCATGCAATTTGTTGTTCTTTGCTTGCTCCCCCCCCCCCCCCCGTGTGCGTGTACACATTCCAAATTACCCTTGTACACATTCCAGATTATCCGCTTTGAACTGGATTATATGGCAGTGTAAACTCATACGATTCAGTTCAAAGCAGATAATAATGTGGGTGATCTGCTTTGATGGTCATCTGGATTATATGGTGATGTTGAAGGGGCCAGGGTTGCATACGCAGCTCTTGCAAAGCACATCTTTGGTGGGACTCATTGCTTTTGCTTGCCAAGCGACATGTCCATTTCACAGCCCCACATAAATAAACGACTATAATAATCGCAATAGCGGAGGCACCCAATGGCAACAAAACATTGGAATGGAACGAAACGCCCCTTTGATGTTAACTGGGAAAGTTCAATGCAGGGCAGAAGAGCGAAGGGCACGTCGTCGCATCCGAAAAGTGCCTTTGTTCCAAAGGACGGGTTTGTTTTGAGCCAGTTTTGACTCAAGTCCAAGGAAGATCAGAGTTCTTGAAAGTTTGTGATTTGTTTCCTCTCTCTCTCTCTGTTGGACTAAAATATATTTGATTGGAGGGTGTCTTGTATTGTCCAGGCTGGTATTCCTTGCCCTCTTGTGCCTCAAAAAAAAAAAAAAAAAAAAGTGGAGAAAGGCAAAAGCTTTCCTCTGTTTTGGCCTCTCGTCTATCATCCTGTGACTTCCGCACACATGACTTTATTCCGGGCTTTCTCTCTCAACTTCCAGATACAATTCCTTAGAGAAAGGCAATATTATACTGGCTGGGTTCTTTATGAAAGGCCATGCGTTAGGCGGGTGATTGGTAAGCGACTCCATGCGCTCACATTGTGAATTAAATCTCATACTATTCAACAACACACACACACCCTTCCAATGGCAAACAGCTGAGAAATTATTATGGAAAATACTCTGAAACTTCATCTGGTCCAAAGTGCTGCACCCAAACGTTAAGAGCAAAGTTTGCATCCCACTCCAAAAGCATCTTCATTCCTAAGAACACAACTCCTTTCTTACAAGCCCAATGGCTGACCTACATTGGACTGGGCAACTTAGGTCCTGTCTACACTGCTGTATAATCTAGTTCCAAACTGTATGATAATGGCAGTGTAGATGTGGCCTGACAGCAATCCCCTTGGCTGCCAGCCAACACCATTTCAATGTCACAGCAGTTTGACTCACAGCTCTTACACAGTTTAACTGCATTGCAAAAGTTTACACTGACCATATAACGTAAATTCAAACTGCATTATATGCATTTCCCATCTCCTTGCTGGGAATTTGCAGTGCTGAATATGCCTATGTGCTGGAGCACCAACTAGAGTCACCAACTAGGGAACCCCAGGTGCTGGCAGTGGCCAGGAGCACCTTCATACAGTTAAAGCTTGTGCTTCAGCTGCACCCATACCTTGAGATGACAAACTTGACCATGGTAGTCCATGCCATAGTCACATCCCGCTTGGACTACTGCAACACTCTCTACATGGGGCTGCCTTTGAAGATAGTTCGGAAGCTTCAGCTAGTTCAGTAGTCAGCAGCCAGGTTACGAACTGGGACTTCATAAGGGAGAGATCCACTCTCAAGTTGCAACAGCTCCATTGGCTGCCTGTCTGCTTCCGAGTGAAATACAAAGTGCTGGTCTCTACTTATAAAGCTCTAAACAGTTTGTGTCCAGGCTACTTGTCTAACCGCATCTCCCCATATGTGCCACTCATGCACTGCGATCTATGGAGGAGGCCCTGCTCTCAGTCCCAAACCGTCACAAGCGCGGTTGGTGGGATCTAGAGAGTGGGCCTTCTTTGTGATTGCTCCCCGCCTCTAGAACTCCCTCCCCAAAGAAATAAAAACGGACCCCTTCCTCCCTCCTCTCCAGGGCCGTAGCCAGAAAAAAATTTCAGAGAGGGTTGAAAATTTCGGGGCGGGGGTGGGGGTGGGTGGGTTTGAAACCTGCCTCCTAGCTCACGCTGAAGCAAAGAGCACAGCAGGGGGCAGAGCAGCCTTCAATAGCCTGCAGCTCCGCCCTTGTCAACCACCTCCACCAAGTCTGGCCTCCTTAATGAGAGCATTCAACACCCCCCCCCCCACGTGGTTGCTTCGCTACATCGGCTATTGCTGCAAGTAATGACAGTGTGAATAAATTGTCAATATTTGCCTGAGATAGTGCTTGCAGTTCTGGAGGGACTCTTAATTTTTTGTGTCTCATAGACTTAGCATGGGGATTTGGTTAACCAGTTAAAATTCATAAGTAAATCAGGTTTTATTTTAACCTGAAAAATTTGGGAGGGGGTGTTTGAACCCCTAACCCCCCCCCCCTCCGGCTACAGTCCTGCTGCTCTCCTTTAAAAAACAATTAAAGACTCACCTTTGCTCGCTGGCATACGGAGAGGAGGAGGAAGAGGATTAGTTGATGGTGTCCAGCCAATAGACCGCTGCCTGGAATTCGTTTTATAATCTGGCTTGTATGCTGGATAGGTCTAGTGATATTCCAGGTAAGTAGAGTGAATTTTAACATAATTTTAAACTAACTTATTGATTTTTGTGAATTCTTTGTAAAGTCAATGTTATATTTATATTAGATGTAATTTAAATTAATTTTTAAGTGGGTTGTTGGTTTGTTTGTTTAATTTGATTTGATATGATATGTGGGTGTAAACTTGATTTATGTGCTTTTAAAGTGATATATGTTTTTTTAGGGGGGGATTTGGGCAGTCTGTTTATGTATTTGTATTTGTAATTCTTATTGTATAGGCATTGAATGTTTGCCTTCTGTTGTTGGAATCTGCCCTGAGTCCCCTTTAGGAGATAGGGCAGAATACAAATAAAGTTATTGTTATTATATTAGCGGCCAGTGCTCCCATTGCAACAAAACCACTCCCTCTTCTTCTTCTTCTTCTTCTTCTTCTTCTTCTTCTTATTATTATTATTATTATTATTATTATGCTTTTTTTCTCTATGTGGAGACTCAAAGTGGCTCGCAATTAAAAGCATTACAATACAACACAAAATATACAAAGATAAGGTAAAGATTTCCCCTGACATTAAGTCTAGTCATGTCCAACTCTGGCGGGGTGGGGTGTGTGCTGATCTCTATTTCTAGCTTAGGTAGTACCCTGCGTTACTTGGGTTATTTGAAAAAGTCATTCTTTTATTTTACAAAATGCATAAGGTTGTGAGTGAACTACAACACACATCATGCCAGGTTAACCCCCTGAAACTCCATCAGTGCTTAAACTTGTCATCCTGGTCAAGTTTGTTCTAGATGTATCATTGATGAGATTTCGTGTGCTCTGTGGCTGCTGGATGAACTATAGCTCCCACCATGATGGGTCAGTTCCCTCCAAACCCCCCAGGTATGTTCAGTTGGACATGGGAGTTCTGTGTGCCAAGTTTGAACCAGGTCCATCATTGTTGGGGTTCTCAGTTGGTTTAGCTGTAGGAGGGGTCCAGAGTGCTCTTGAAATGTAGGTGGTCTATAAATCCCAGTACCTACAACTCCCAAATGCCAAGGCCAACTCCCCCCAAATCCTACCAGTGTTCAAAATTGGGCATATTGGTTATGCGTGCTAAATTTGGTTTAGATCCATTGTTGATTGGGTCCACAGTGCTCTCTGGACGCAGGCAAACTACAACTCCTATAAATCAAAGTGAATTACCCCCAAAGCCCTCCAGTTTTTTGTTTTTTTTTTGTCGTTGTTTTTGTTGGTCATGAAGGTTCTGTGTGCCAAGTTAGGCCCAGGGCCACCATTGGTGGGATCCAGAAAGCTCTTTGATTGCAGGTGAACTATAAATCCCAGTATGTACAACTCCCAAATGCCAAGGCTAACTCCCTCCAAATCCCTTCAGTATGTTCTGTTGGTCATGGGGATTCTGTGTGCCAAATGTGGTCCAGGTCCATTGTCGGTGGGGGTCACAGTGCTGTGTCTTGATGCAGGGTGAACTACAAGGTCCATCATGTGGAGTCAGTCCCCCAAACCCCTCCAGTATGTTAAGTTGCTGCTCAGTTCCACTCTGTTTGTTATGCAGACAGAGTTGAAAAGAGTAGGAAAGGGTTAAGGGAGATGCAGTGGGTGGGGTCATGCAAATTCCACACCAAGGGAGAAAGGAACACTGGGATGTGGTGCTCACTATAACTGTAATGTCATTGGAAGAAGGGCCATTGGTGTCTCCTGGGGCGGGTGAGCTATAGCTGCTTTCGGAGGTGGGAATCTGTCATACGCACATATACATTTTTACTTTTATTATGTGTATAGTTATAGTTATTATTATATTGCATTACATTATTATCACGTTACAATATTAGTAGTAGTATTATATATAGTATACAATATATGTATCTTATATTAATATTATGTATTATACTGCATCGTGTTATAAGTAGTACTATTATATCTAATATCCAATAATAGAACAGCATAATATTAGTAGCATTAGTAATAGAACATTGCCTTGCAATGCCAAAGCACTGCGGAAAAGGTGGCTTTGCTGCCCTCTGCTGGTTGGAGCCTTTAAGTGCAAGGCGTCCCTGTTGCTGCTTGCAATGTTTTGCAAAATGCAAAAGGAAGGCAAACGCATTGCAAGGGTCTTTTAAAGCCCCAAAGGCCTTGGGAGGAGGAAATCCTTTCCCCGCTGGGGGGAAAGTCGAGTATCCTGGGTTTGCATTGCAAACTACAATTCCCAGAAGGAAGCTGGGGAAAATAAAGGGGGCGTTCTTTCCTAACCTAACCTTGGAAGGCATGTCTTGCGCATGCGCGGTGCGCCCTGAACAAAGTCCTTTGCAAAACAGGTAAGTGGGAAGAGCAGCTGGGAGAGGAGAAGTTGGGGGCTGCAACATTTGCAGAAAAGCCACCTAAAGTATGCATCTCTATGGATTTTGCAACTGCCCTATATAGTCAGTGTAGACTCAGAACTGCATTGGATTGCAGTGCAGATGGGGCCATACATGCATGCATTTCTAGGGATATGCTGGCTGCTCTTGTTGCCTTGCAGGTTAACATCTGCCCCACCAACCAGCATGACCAATCCTACTTATTAATATTATTATAAGATTTACTGCTGACATTGCAGTTGGCTGTGCTGGGAATGCTTTTCATCTCTAACCATTGTGTGGTTGCTTCTATTCAGGGTTCCCTTGTTTAAATCTTTGATAATACTGAATTTGACTTTGCTTCTATCTATGCTCGTTTATGTAGTATTTTTTAATAATGTTGCATTGGTTGCATTGCTTGTTTTAATGTTTATATATTTTAAATTGTATAGTAGTGTTTTTATGTCAAGCCACTTTGAGTCGCCTTTGGGAAGATAAGGCAGAATATAAATGTAATAATTATAATATATGATGATGATAATAATAATAAATGCTGATGCTTTTATGCCAGGCCGCTTTGAGTCCCCTTTGGGGAGATAAAGTGGAATATAAATATAATAATAATAATATATAATAACAATATTTTAATAAATATAATAATAATAATTTAAATTAATAATGTTATTAATAATATATAATAATATTTTAATAAATATAATAATAATTTAAATTGTATGCTGATGCTTTTATGTCAAGCTGCTTTTAGTCCCCTTTGGGGAGATAAAGTGGAGTATAATTATTATTATTATTATTATATGTAATAACAATATTTTAATAAATATAATAATAATTTAAATTGCATGATGATACTTTTATGTCAAGCTGCTATGAGTCCCCTTTGAGGAGATAAAGCAGAGTATAAATAAATAAATAATACTTTAATAAATATAATAATAATAATAATAATAATAATAACTTAAATTGTGTGTTGATGCTTTTTTATGTCAAGCCACTTTGAGTCCCCTTTGGGGAGATTAAGTGGGGTATAAATATAATATAATAACAATGTGATTATCGTATTGCTAAGCCAAAGCAAAAGGGGAAGCTGCTTCCGGAGCTTCTCTTGAGGGACCCCACCCCTAATTAAATGGCTTAATGCTATGTGATGCTGAGATTTGTAGTTTGGCGAAGCATCAGCATTCTTTGGCAGATAATTTTAATGGCAGCCCAAAAATAATAATTTGTACTCCACTGTTGTTGTTGTTGTTGTTGTTATATGTCTCCTCTAATAATAATACAATAGTACAAATAATTATAATTATAATTATTTGTACCCTGCTTTTAATGGCGGCCCGAAAACATAAGGTTAAATAGGATCCAAATATAGGGTCCAGATACAATTTCAGATGGGATCCATTACATCCAAATATAGGGTCCGAATGTAGGATTCAATGAGGGAGTCCAATTGATCGGGGAATGTGTCGTATTTTATTAAGTTGTATATGGTTTTTGTGCAATGTGCAGTCTATTTATTTGGTTTTATGATGCTTTATTGATTTTTGTGTTATGTAATTTCTGTTGCTTTTAACTATTGTATGCCACTTTGAACCCACCCATAGGAAAAAAACTGGGACAAAAATGTATTATTATTATTATTATTATTATTAATGGCTCGTGGCCTTGCAAAACTACATCCTCGAGACTCCATAGCATTGAACCATGGCAATTAAAGTGGATTCATTCTGCAGCATAGATGCATCCAATGTTTTGCAGCATAGATGCATCACTGGAAGCTGTGGTGTCTTAAAGTTTTGGTTTCTAAAGAAGGAATTCCCAGCACGCAACAACTGTAATGGCCAAGTACACGTTTTGCCACTTTTTGTGCATTATATTTGGCAACAAATACTTTTTGTAGTTTCAGGTTTTTGAGAAATGGAGGTGCGTATGAAAACCCGAGTAAATATATGCTCTCAAGGCTAGAGAGAGGCCCAGGAAACACAGAGGCACGCCTCGTGGCTTGCCTGTTTCCCAAGACTTGCGTCTTAAGCAATCGCACAGCCCTGGCATCCCTTATGCGATTGCTTGGGAGCGGGAGGAGGATGCCTGGAGCACCCTGGTTTTGCAACAGTGAAGGGAAGGAAGGAAGATTGTAGCCGTCGGACCGGTTTGTGCAGGAATAGCCAGTTTTTCCGATCCCAAAAGATAGCCGGGAAATACGTTTTCTGGAAAACAACAGTAGCAAAGAAATGCCTTGGTCCCTCATTTCTGCTGTGTGTTAATATGAAGTTCTCTACTATTTCCTTTCCCCTTTGGCAGGAAAGAACGTGTTGTTTCTGACCTCGAGATTGGAAGCTGTAAAGGAACCGTTTGTTGTTGTCCTTCCTTCCACCAGCAAAGGCTTCTCGATTTGGGTGAGTTTTTGGTCAGTGCCTGTCATAGAAGGAGCCTTCGGCTTCATTTTTATCAATAGACTTTTAAGTTGCTTTAAATTTAGTTCTGTTTGTATATTAGAATACCTTTGATTGCCTTTTTAGCATCACGTCTGTAGATGTCTTTGAATTTTTGTTGTGAACTGGGATCTTATTATTCCCCACCCTCCATCGATTTCTCCAGAGTGCTGATAGGACTCATCAATTTTCCAGCTATTATTATTATTATTATTATTATTATTATTATTATTATTATTATTTCTCTCCCAAATAAGACTCAAGTTGGTTTAACCTCCTGTTTGCAAGTAGCACTGAACTACTGTGTTGTGAAATGATGCATGTCTCCAAAAAGATGCTTCTCCTTCCTGGCTTACATTATGACTTCTGAAGATATATGTTTTGGGAATTGTTCAGCTTTTTGTAACACGCTTCTTGTTTCCTGCAGAATTGCCCAGGAAGCCAACCATGTCCCAGCCGGGCTTTGCTTGCCAGCCTCCCCTGGATGTCGAAACAGATGATTGTCTCCAGGAATATACTTACCTCTTCAACCCTGACATCCTCAAGTAAGTTGTCCCAAAATATGGCTTCCTCCCAGAAATGGACTAACTTGGCGACATTGAACTAGAGACGTTATCCTCTTCCTTCTGCTTCCATCTAGGGGCAAAGTCGCATTCATCACCGGAGGCGGCTCAGGCATCGGCTTCCGCATTGCTGAGATCCTCATGAGGTATGCATGACTCAGGGCCTTGAGAGACGTCTCCGTCCTCCTTTTGGTGTGTTGCTTTCCCTTTCCCTTTGGCCGAGCTTTTGTCCCTGGAAAGCAAGCATTAATATTATTATGTTTATTTATATCCCACTTTTTCTTTCCATACGGAGACGCAAAACTACTCACAGTGAAAAGTATTACAATGCAACTTAAAATATACAAATATTAAAACAGTATAGATTATTATTAGTATTACATTTAATATATTAGCACTATTTTATGAGAATGTTATGTTTATATATTATTATATTGTATTATTAGTAATATATTGTATTACATTACATTATTATTATTATTATTATTATTATTATTATTATTGGCATGCTGCACTTCTCTTGCAACTGAATTATAGTTGGAAGACACCATCCAGGCCCTGGTTTGGAATCAGCAGACTGAGCATTTTGCATCATAGAATCCTAGAGTTGGGTTGCACCCCCAGAGGCCATCCAGTCTGACCCCTTTCTGCCAGGCAGGAGGACACCATCAAAACCCTCCCAGCAGATGGCCATCCAGCCTCTGCTTAAAAACCTCCAGAAAATAAGACTACCCCATTTCTAGGCAGCCTTTTCCACTGCCAAACAGATCTTACCATCAGGAAGTTCTTCTTAATGGTTAGGTGGAATCATTCCCTGCAGTTTGAATCCCATAAGCTCTTTTTTCCATATGACCTCCTTTCAGATCTTTAAATATGGCTATCATGTCCCTCTTCTCCAAGCTGAGCACATTCCCAAAACCACTCCTTGTAGGACTTTCAGTACTCCCATTTGTTCTAGGTCCTTCTCTGCATATGGCTCCTTTCTGCATTATTTTGTTTTTGCAGGCATGGTTGCCAAACTGTGATTGCCAGCAGAAACCTCCAGAGAGTGACAGAGGTGAGTGGACGTGCCATTTGGAGCGCTCAATCAGGGTCTTCTTGGTGGAAAAATATGCAGCGCATTCCGATGTAATGTACATATAACACTATGGAATAAAATGTGGGGAAAAATATCTGTTCCTGGTTTGAAAGCATTATTTCCTGTTTAATTCTGCAACACTTACTTTGAAAGTATTTGTTCTACTCCAGAAACTTTGTTTTTGTGGCACAAACTAGGTTAAATTGGTTGAGACTCGATGAAATGCTAAAGCAAAACATGCTGTAACAGGATGTCCCTCCCATAAAAACAACGTTTTTGCAGTTTAATAAAACTTTTCCATGTTTTTGTGATATCATCAATTAGAAAATAGCACTGATAATCCAGGAACAAAAATCGTAGTGTTACAGAGTGTAATTGTCATTTCATTGTACTGGTCTGTGATGTCTTCTGCTGGGTGTGTTTGTGCCCAGAATGCAGGAGAAGGTGGCCATTTAAATGCCAAATCCTTTTTTAAATAAATATTTTTAATGTGTATAGGTGGTATACAGTCTGCAAAAGAAAATACCTACCCTTTTGTGTTAATAAATTCCCCCTTGTGGCTACTTTTGTCTTCCTTTCTAAATATCCAAATGCGATCCTCCATTTTCCAGCAAAATCTTCATATATATATATATATATATATAGAGAGAGAGAGAGAGAGAGAGAGAGACTTTATTTATAACTTTCTCTATCTCCCGAGGGGACTCAGGACGGTTTCCAGTCAGAAAGTGGCAAGCATTCAATACCATAATAAAAATAAAAATAACCAAATCGAAAACAATAAATAAAACAGCATCAATATAAACTTATAATGACTAACCAAAAAGTAAGGAATTAAAAAACATACTATCCCTCACCATACACATTTACATCGTAATAAGATCTAAACAACTGAAATGCATTAAAAATATAAAATGGCTTGCATCAGCCAACAGAGCCAGGGTGGGTTTCCAGTATCTAAACGAGGCTGTATATTAAGATGTCCTAGTCCTCCTCCTCTCTGTAGACTGGAGCACAAAGATGGGTTTTCAATCGTTTTTTGATGGAGAGGAGAGAGGGGGCATTTTTACTTCTTTAAGAAGCGAGTTCCAGAGGTGGGGAGCGATCACAGAGAAGGCCCCCTCTCTCGTTCCCACTAACTGTGCTTGAGACGGGGGTAGGAGATGCAGTTAGTCAAATAGCCTGGGCCCAAACCATATAGGACTTTATAGGTAATGACCAGCACTTTGTATTTAGCCCAGAAAAGGACTGGCAACCAGTGGAGCTGCCGCAACATGGGAGTAGTTCTCTCCCTGTATGGCACTCCAGTTAGCAATCTGGCTGTCGATCTCTGCACTAGTTGAAGCTTCTGAACTATCTTCAAAGACAGCCCCACGTAGAGAGTGTTGCAGTAGTCCAGATGGGATGTGACTAAGACATGGACCACCATGGCAAAGTCGGGCATCTTCAGGTACAGGTGCAGCTGGCAGACAAGTTTCAGTTGTGCGAAGGCGCTCCTGGCCACTGCCGACACCTGAGGCTCCAGGGTCAGCGATCAGTCCAGGAGAACTCCCAATCTGCGAACATGTGTTTTCAGAGGAGTGTGACTCCATGCAGCACAGGCTGTAATCCTATGCCCTGATCTGCCTTCCGACTGACCAGGAGTACCTCTGTCTTGTCTGGATTTAATTTCAGCTTATTAGCCCTCATCCAGTTCATTACTGATGACAGGCACTGGTTTAAGGGCGAGACAGCTTTCTTGGCATTTGGTGGAAAGGAGTAATAGGGTTGGGTGTCATCAGCGTAAATTTGGCACCAAACTCCAAAACTCCGGATGATCGCTCCCAGCGGTTTCATATAGATATTAAACAACATGGGGGTCAGAATTGAACACTGAGCGACCCCACTGGCCAGGGAGTCAAACAGAAGTCCCCCAGCACCACCTTCTGGGTCTGTCCCTCCTTCAAAACAATGCCTCCAAGTCCCATCCCGGAGAGACAACCCAGAAGGATACCATGGTCAATGGTATCAAAACTTCCTCCCCAAATACCGTTGAAGAGCTTGGCCATTTGTATATAACCTAATCATGTTCCTCTCCAGTCCTTTAAAAATAACTCTCCCCCCCCCCCCTTTATGATTTTACTATTGTTATTCCTGAATCAACAAAACTGTATCAACAAATTTCTATTTCATAGAATAAACCTAAGAAACACATTTCTGCGTTTTTTCTTATCCTTTTTTGTAAGCATTTTGGGTTTTTTCCCTATAATTGTCTTTTCTTTAAAAAAAACATGGAAGTAGGTACCATGGGGAGAAAGGTGTTGTATAAATCAAGATAATAAAGATAACAAAAGAACAACAACAACAACAATAATAATTTGCATATCCAACATTCTCCCTGGTGGGATACTATCACCTCAGGGGTTATGTAATGCCTATAGAACATTTATACATATTTTCTCTAATGTTTAAATGCCAAATCTGGACTTGCACAGGCTGCCAAGAAACTGTCTTCAGCCACGGGCCAGAAATGCCTGCCTTTGACCCTGGATGTCCGGCAACCTCAAGCCATCATGGCCGCCGTGGATGAGGCCCTGAAGCAGTTTGAGAAAGTTGATATCCTGGTTAACAGTAAGTGATTTGCCTCTGTCTCCTTTGGGGAAAAACTATCTATTTATCTCTGGGCAATTTTGGGATGCATCTACAATGTTTACACCCTATTACAGTGAGAGTACTTGACTCCAGCAAAGGATCACCGCCTTGTCGGGGCACTGGAGCTTGAGCACCTCAATGATGTCATGAGCGAA